GACGCTTGCACTGGAGATTCGTGGCAACGTTGTTGACGTCAGATAGGAACGCTCTCGCCCGGTACTACATAGGTGTGAGTGAGAACGTATGTAGCAAGCGTAAGGGTGAAAAAGACATCGAATACGACGTTGCCAAGCGTTGCGACTGTTATTGGCGAAATTTTTAAAAGCGATGTTATAGATTTTAATTCATTCACATACACTATAACAACGTCTCATGAACTGACAATGCAATTACGTTGCAAAATAATAAAAAAATCGCCGAAAAATGGAATTTATACCCATATGAATTTTGGTTGCAATTAGTTGGCAACGGATTTTAAATCTTATGTTGTAGGATAGGACACAGTTCTACAACGATCGAAAAACTAAAAGTCATGCTTTAATATCTAACTAAAAATTGATTTTTTGTGGTGTATAAAGTACACCGTAACTAAGCGGAAATTAGCCCTTCAAATTTTTGGGAGACAAAATTAAATTTGGTCTCATTAATTGTTCACTATTAAATTATAATTATAATAGGTATATGTACCTAGGTACATACTTACATTCTGAAGTTTAATAATATAAAAAAATACATGATAAATGACCCGAGTCAAAATTAAGATCGTAATTTAAACCTTAAGTCTGACAATTTCCGTCTTAAAAGGTTTTATATTCGCCTAAAGATAACCAACTTACGACCTAAAACATGGCAGATAAGTCCATTTTCCCGATTTTTCGGTTCTAATTACGTTTAAATTTAAACCAAAAATTTTATTAGAGGTTTAAATTGGTTTAAATCGGTTCAAATGAAGATTAATTCGGTTGTTCTAGTGCTAAATTGGAGTAAACAGACTGAATACGTTTTAAATCAGTTTTGGTAGTTCAAAGTAGGTTTAAATTACGATTTAAATTTTGACTCGGGGAGATTTTTGGTTTAAATTTAAACGTAATTAGAACCGAAAAATCGGGAAAATGGACTTATCTGCCATGTTTTAGGTCATAAGTTGGTTATCTTTAGGCGAATATAAAACCGTTTAAGACGGAAACCTATAGGTTATTATAATAAGTCTGAACAATTTCCGCCTTGAAAGGTTTTATTTTCGCCTAAAGATAACCAACTTTTAACCTAAAACATGGCAGATAAGTCCATTTCCCCAATTTTTCGGTTCTAATTACGATTAAATTTGAACCAAATTATGACCGTTTACAACCTACAGTTCAAAAAAGCCCAGGCCACTGCGCATGTCGATTAATAAAAGCGCGACAATATTTGAATTTAAATATATCGTTGCTGCACCTAAAAAACATCTATGTATGCGCATTTTAACAAATTATACAAGAGAAGGAAAAGACATTTCACTACCAGATAAAACTTTGATGAAAGTATTTCCTTATATTTTTCAGTATAATTAAGTATTGAAATAATATTAAGGAATGCATACTTTCATAAAAGTTTTATCTGGTAGTAAAATGTTTTTTTTTTCTCTTGTAAAATTTGTTAAAACGCGCATAGAGGTTCTTGCAGGCGCAGCGGCAATATATAAATAATTTAAGTTACCTAAAATCATTTATACGTAAAAAATAAAAAAACAAAATGAGTGAAATTTACGATTTATTAATAAATTTAAATTATTTTAGTTTAGTTAAAAAAAGTTAATAGCTTGAGTTCTGTAGAAATATAGGTAGAGTGCATTGTAAAGGCTGGTTCGGGTTGGGTTGAAGACTTGGTACAAACTGTTGTATAATTTAAATTTCCAAAATAAATGGACGAATTCTTTACATTCATTATTTGCAGTAAAATTAAAAAATGGAATTTATCAATTCGACACATGCAACGAAGACTATTGTAACTCAGTTTTGATTGTAGACTAGAGTAACTCAACTTAATATAGTTTTTTCCTGTAGGAATGTGGATTATTACACTTACTATACAGGGAAGTTGTTCACTGGTTGCCTATCGTTTCATGTCTGAGTTACTGTAATCTTCCACCAAATAGAGCTTGAAAAAATCTGTTGATGCCATATAGTAAGTCAAAACCCACGTTTTTTGAGTTACTATAGTCTTCGTTGCATCCCGACTCAAAATTTAAATCCTAATTTAAACCTACTTTGACCTACCAAAACTGATTTAAAACCTGTTCAGTCTATTTACTCCAATTTAGCACTAGTACAACCGAATTAATCTTCATTTGAACCGATTTAAACCTCTAATAAAATTTTTGGTTTAAATTTAAACGTATTTAGAACCGGAAAATTGGGAAAATGTACTTATCTGCCATGTTTTAGGTCATAAGTTGGTTATCTTTAGGCGAATATAAAACCGTTTAAGACGGAAATTGTCAGACTTGTAAAATTTTATTTTTGAAATAAAATGATTTAATCGGACCAATAATTTTATTAGAGGTTTAAATCGGTTCAAATAAAGATTAATTCGGTTGTTCTAGTGCTAAATTGGAGTTAACAGACTGAACAGGTTTTAAATCAGTTTTCGTAGGTTTAAATTACCATCTAAATTTTGACTCGGGATTGTTCATGAAATATACAAATTCAAAAAAAAAGAAGAAAACTCTTATAAGTAACAAATCATATATAACTTAATCTAAAATGATCTTTACAACATTTAAGTAATTCTTGGTATGAGCTAGTATTAATATCACAATAAGACGAAATCACATTAAAGCTGTTTGACATTACTACTACTGGCGACTTTAAATGGGGAGCTTACTTTGGGAATATAAAACTGCAACTGAGATAAGAGAACCGGAGAATCCACATCACCATGCACCAGCTTGAATAAAACAGAAAAACAAACCTACGCTCATCAAGGGAAGGACAGTTGCACGCGAATTTCCTGTTCACGGTTCAGCGGGTTATGAAGGACGTTCATTTTACGCGAGTGCAGCACCTGCAGCCGGAAGATAATTCCGCTAGAGTGGAATTCTGTAGTTGTTGCTAGAGATTCTGTCTCTGGGGTACAGAACTTTAGTTGTTGTACCTATATTATTATACGATAGGGCCGTCCATAAATCTCGTGACGCTGAAGGGGGAGGTTTATTATTTGTTCCAATTTATTACAAAAAAGAGTCCGCAAAATATGTTTAGGGGGAAGGGGCATCCTCACAATATGTCACGAGAAAGGGGGTCAATTTAGACCAATTTTAGCTTAACGAGATTTATGGAGATAATGCGCATAACCTTGAGTGTAACTATACTTTATCTACTTCAATTCCAATATAATTAAGTGATTTTCAAAAATAATAAAAACGATAACATCCCGTCAAGGGATTCCCGTGTAGTCTTAGCAACTTTATGAATTTTTAATCGGAAACCAGACAGTCAATCTTTCTAAAACTTTGTAAAGGTCTTTTACTAGTCTTTACTAAAACCTACAATTTTTTCAACATTTTCTCATGGCGACTAATATCTTTCCCGAACCTCCTTAATAATTCTGTACATTGAAATTATCGAGTTTTGTCAGGTTTGACGTATTACATATATTAAATAAAAGGTTATATACATGAATTTATTCTATAGTGGCCAGGAATTGCTGATTTTGAGCCAAATTATTATAATAATTTGACTTTTAAACTGCGTCTTTCTATAAAGGCTTATGCTGGATTTATGCAGCACAAATTAACATTAACTTAACATTAACATTAAGATTAACATTATCATTAAAAAGTTAAATAAACGTAATCCACTGGAAGCTTTTATGCAACACATTAACATTAACTTTAACATTAAGTTAACATTAAGAGATGGCCAAGTTTTATCTTCTTAAGGTAGTTATGCTGTAAGCATACCATCAGAAAATTTTAAATTTTTGTATACATATTAAGGACATGACAATACAATTATCCTTAAAATTTGAAGTCGATTGACCGTCTATAACCAGAGATAAATTCAATTAAAAATTGGATAATTAACATGGATTGTATAGGCTAGATCTGTACCAGTTTCTTAGTTATAAAAAAAAAACTAACTGTCAGAAGCTTTCAAAAAAACTAACAGTCTTTTAATGTATTTTTGCTGAGTTTAAAAAAAAATAATTAAAAATTTTTGACCGTCCATTTGTTTATAAATAACCGTTTAAAGTTCAACAATTTGTAAAAAGTATACATCACTAGTGTCAAATAAAAACAACTTGGCAACGCTGTATGCGAGTATAGATATTATTTCCGCAGTAAATTCAAACACTGATTCAGTCTCCAATATATCTATTGGTTGAGCATAAGCGACGTTGCCGGATTAAAACTTATGAAAATATTTGAAACTATTACGTAAAGGTATCGTCTCCAGGGTACAGTCTTGCGAATAAATTATGATTCACTTAGCTACAAGCACATATACTTTTACGGTGCGTATAATCTAAAAAATTTTGACAATATTGTACCACGACAACTACCTTAATGATAATGTTAATTTTTATTCGTCCTGCGCAGGTTTGCGGCGCAATTTTTAAATAAACCGTGTCAGTAATGCCAACATACCCGAAAATTAAATGAAACTTACTGCTGAATGATTGATTTTTTATATAATGATTATGTTCTTTGGTTTATTGTTTGACGTGGAGTTTATAGTTTTCATTCATTTTACCTAACAGATACTAAAACGGGATTAAAACAAAATTCAAGCAAACTAAAAATGTCAGATGTCAAAATTGCTTTAACTTATAGGCATGCTTAATTTGCCACTAATTTTGCTGCATAAAATACCCACCTTAAATTAGCTTAATGTTAACTTAATGTTAATGTGTGTTGCATAAATCCAGCATTATACGCGTTATAAAATGAACATTGTTATACCATTAATTAAGGTTACTATTTCACTTGTTTTACGCTTGAAAATAATAGTTTATGGTGTATAATTTTATCCAAGAGTTTTAACTATGCACGAGCTAAGCTTTCGAGCGAGTTTTTAATAAAAACGAGCGTCTAGACAAGTTTATAAACGAGTTAATTATAATTAAAAGATAAAGTATATACTTATTTAATAATTATTAAATAAGTATATACTTCATCTTCGAGGAATACAAAGAATTTAAGGCCAATTTTATTTGTTAAACATTATATTTTTAAAAAATAATTAATTTTCCAATTTAGACTTAATTGTGGCTCTTAACATATCAAGTCCAACTTTATTAACGTCATAATACGGCAACTGTTCCATCTTCTTGATCCAAGCAGCAATTTTGGGGAATTTAGTTGCATCAATTGGCACCACTAAATCGCATGATGTAACGGTTGTTACAAGAGAAAAATCAGCTATTGTAACGTTGTTACCGGCCACAAACTTTGTTTTTTCCAAATAATTTTCAACGTATCCATAAGCTTCAATTACGGCGTCACTCTGTTCTTTTGGGATGCTTTTGACTCCTTGAAAGATAATTGATTTCTGAAAAAATAATTGTTAGATTTTTATAAATAGCCTAGCATTTGCTACTATCATATTATGTGTAACTTTAAAACCAGTTTGGTTGATTTTGTTCAAAACAAGCCCTTTTTAACATATTTCCAAAGTATATTTAAGGTATAAAAAGAGTTATTATTTTATTATATTTATATTATTATACTCGCGATTAAAAGGGAAATACTAAGGTTTTTATTTATTTTAATTTAAATATACCTTACCGTTATGACTAACATTCGGGGAAATAATGTTCCAGCATCGAAAAATAGACGTTGATCGATAAGACCTCTTGCTTTTGCTTCTTTTGGATAAAGGGAATCATCCTTTCCGTATTTATTTATCAAGTAAGTCATAATTGCATGGCTGTCCCATAAAATAAATCCATTATCGTCCAGACTTGGAACAGTGTGTTGAGGATTTATCTATAAAAAGTAATTGTGATTGTAATTGAAGTCTTGCTGTATTTAAGCTATACGAAATTTGCCAGTAAGCGATCAAAACATAAAATAAATGTTGTGTATAATTTCATTAAAATCGAATAACACGTGCAGAACACTATATTTTTACAGCCTTCCATTCACTTTTCTTAAAGGTATAATAATAATAATAATAGTTTATTAATCCAATAGACAAAGTCTACATAAAGGATATAATTTTTTTACAATATACAGTATAACACAAAATTAGTTACATAAGATAGAATTAGGTAAAAATTGGTATGATAATAATAAGAAATTATTATACCTTTTTCAAAATTTTTCAAAATCACACCTACCAGGTTAATTCGAATATATTCCAAATATTAAAAAAAATGGGTTTCGATGCTCCTTATCGTACTTGTATCGTATAATGTGTGAAGTTTGATAATTTTTATTCATAATTTACAAAGAAGTTTTATTGGAAGGGTGTAAAAATACATTGAAAGTAAAAGTACTTTACAGTTAATCGATTTTGCTGAAAATATACACAACATTTTGCTGTTCCCGGCCTAAAGTGATGAAGATATACATTATAAAAATATAATAATAATATTAATAGACTTCATTGTGTAAAATACAAAAATAATACCTACATTTGTATTTTGAACAATTAATAATTATAATATGATATATTATGGAAACACACTTGGCTTACACCCATTGTGTTTGAATATTTATATAAATATATATTTGTATTTTGCACAAAAATTATTAAAAATTATTATTATTATATTTATTTATATTATACATTTCACTTTTTATAATGTTTATAGGTACATGTATATGTCTTTATCACTTTTTATAATTTTTTTAGTAGAGGATCTGGTCGGATTTTCCGGGGAACCTCCTGCTGGCCGATTTTGTGGGCATTTTTTCCGCTCTTTAACACTTGGTGTGTAAGGTTTGTTAAAGTTATGTATTTAAATTTTTTAGAAAATATTTTTACGATTTTCGCGACAATTGTCAACGCAACAACGCGTTGTTGCATCGGTGCAAGATGGGTTAACCCATCTTGCACCGTTGTTGCGTTGACGCAAAAACCATTTTATGTTTTTTTGTATGTAAATTATAGTACATTTGATAAATTTTAATTGATAGTGTTGTTATACAAAGAATAAACTATGACAAACAATTTTGTAAAGTGTCCATATATTTTAGTTATATTAACAATAAATTGTTTTTCTACTCCCACCTTTAAAACGCCCTTTATCGTACATGTTTCCATGACACTAAGTGACATTTTAAATACACATTGACAATTTGTGGCTTTACGGCGCTTTAGTCACGGGCTGAAGTTAGCAACAGGTTTTTAGTTACGGGCTGAAGTTAGTTTTAAGTTAGTTGACAGTTGTCAAATGTCATAAAATCGTTAAAATAAAGTGCCTTTCTTGTAAAATAATACTAAATGTAAAAATTATTTTTTTTACTCATATTATGGAATATGACCCTACTAATATCACTTTTATCTGTGGAATGACATTTATTCCGTAAAGTTTTACAGAATGAAATATTTTATCATCTGATGACAGAATATACACTTGTGGCGACATCTCTGTTTTTAATATCTAACAAATTTTAGACCGATCCAACCTCACTTTCTTCCAATTAAATTATTTGTCTATGGTATTTTTTGGAAACGTAGAAAAAGTATAGTCTGAAACACGTTTGGAATTGCATATTCCGCTCTCGTTCTTCACTCGAGCGAAATATGCTGTATTCCAAACTTGTTACAGAATATACTATTATTATCTCAATAGAAAAATACAAAAATATTAAATAGTTTCTCAACGCCAATATTTGAAAAGTTTATATGAACATTGTACTGACCTTTTAATTTCCCCGGCAGTAAACTATAACTTAAATTCGGGCACTGTGAAAAACTGTCAATTTTCAAGATACATTTCGATTTATAACCTTTATAATTGTGTTTATAAAATGTAAAAATGTGACATTTGACAGTTTCCCCTGTTGTTTCATAGATGGCGCTCTATACAAATTTTTGATTTAAATCATTTTAAGATAATAATAAGTATTTGTCGAAGAAAAAGTATAGTATGCACCTCGTTTATAAACTTTTCTATACACTTATTAACTTAGGGTAAACCTGTTGAAAGTTATTCTTCCTGGCCTCTAGCGATGGTTATTTGTTTCATTTTATCCCATATAGCGGCAAATTAGATAAGGAACGAAAATTTGGCCTGGGTGGAGAAGTTCTATTTCGATAACTTTTTTACAAGTTATACACATATCTTCAAGAAAAAGGATATTTTGCAACGGAAACAGAGATCAAAAATTATATCTATCTATAGAGTTTACCAATGTTGCTTTTAAGCAACATGCATTTTTTCATTTTTTTAATACTTTTTTGATGTATTACAAAATTAAATTTTGTTCTTGTGTCAATATAATCATAAACATATGTTAGTGAAAAAAGATTTTTTTCTTCAATTTTATTATTGGTACAAGATGGGTAAAGTTGGCTAGAAAAACACCAGAAAGTACGCAAGGTACCTTGCATTAATTTTTTAATTAAATATTTGCCTATTTTGAAACTTTTTAGAATCCTTTTTTATCACCTTAAAGTAGTTTATTTTTTAAACACATACCCTGCACTAGAATTTCCAGTGCAGGGTATGGGTTTAAAAAATAAACTACTTTAAGGTAATTAAAAAAGGATTCTAAAAATTTTCAAAATAGGCAAATATTTAATTGGAACCGATACTCTTGAATAAATATGTAAGATATGGTCTTAAATATTTAACAAATTCTTACACCCACTTAAAAACCCTTCGTTAAAATTTTAAAGTTTACTCAGGTATAACTTTTTTCATAAAAAACTAGATAGATACCTTTAAATACTCTGGTTTTAAATGTTCCATCTTCAAAAGATTCACATCTTGCTGTTCCAATTTTAAGTCGATGGCACTGGCACATAATTGTACAGCTCGTACGGGTGGGCTTGCAGCGATTACGTACAGTTTTGGAGCCATGGTACTGTTTTCTGATAGCAAAGTGATACTAAATTAATTTTAAATAGTCGCTGTAGCATTCACTAACATATACTTGCAGGACCGTATTATGAATTAAAAGGTAATAAGTTCTGTAATGTGAAATAGAAAAATTGCTTTAAAAATTGCTTTCCAAACCACACTATTTTTGGTTACTTTAAACTACATATTTTAAATGATTTTTTAGCTTTATTTTTTGTAAATACAAGTATAAATTTTAGTATTAGGATTTTTCCCAAAGAAAAAATATAATATTAATAACCCAGACAGCATACAAGTCAGAAATACTTCCTGAAGAAGTAAAAATACCACTGTTCGTGCTGTTGCTCCTGGAGAATATTTCCATTATGGACTGGAAAAAGGATTAATTGATCAACTAAAAGTTACTGACATGAGTCAGTTTAAAAAAATTATTCAAATTAACATTCACATTGATGGTTTGCCAATATCAAAGAGTCAATTGTATCCAATACTGGCAGAAATTTACGCAAAAGTTGCTGTACCTTTTGTTGTTGGTCTATATCATGGACAAACCAGATGATTGTAATGAATTTATCAAGGATTTTATTAATGAATATAAGATTTTGCAAGCTGTAGGTTTTAAATATAATGGTCACAAATTTAAAGTTATAATTAGAGCTGTAATTTGCGGTTCACCTGCAAGAGCTTTTGTTACATATTCTAAAGGCCATGGCGGTTTTTATGGTTGTGGTAAATGTATTCAAGAGGGTAAATATAATGATCATAGGATGTTATTTCTTGATATAAATGCACCATTGGAAATTATTGTTATTTAATTTATTTATTTAGTTTTCTCTTAAGTGTCTGCATGTACGTATATTATGGCGAATAAAAAAGCATTGCTAGCTTTGTTTCTTGAAGAGGAAGAAGATGACGATTGATAACATATGTTAGCAATATCAAATCGTCATCTTCTTCCTCTTCAAGAAACAAAGCTGGCAATGCTTTTTTCGCCATAATATACGTACAATATTAAATAAAAGTGGTTTATTAAAATATGTTAATGTTTTAATTGAAAATCATTTAAAAGTTTAAAGAATACTTTAGATTAAATAAAATGCAATGTTTTTTAATAAATAAAATATTAATATAAAATTATTGTTTTAAATTGTCTGTCAGGGTTGCTACATAATATAAAATTATCTTTTTCTAATAATATATATAATATATACATATTATGTGTGTATAATATACACTGTATATATATATATGTGTGTGTGTGTGTATGTGGCTATAGCCATTAAAGTCAATTTTAAAAATAATTTGAATTTCTTGGAAATATGAGTTTACTGTATAGTATAGTAAAATCATATTTCTAAGATTTTGAAATTTTCTTTAATGGCTAAATAATTATGAAGTCATTATAATTAAAACTAATTGTATAAAAGAATAATTCATGAAAACAAAACTGTATGAAGTCATAAAGAGCTCTTAATTCTGTCTTCTACAAGAATTCTTTTTATGAATTCAAAAAGAGCTCTTAATTCTGTCTTCTAAAAGAACTCGTTTAGAGCTCTTTTAGAATCCTTCAAGAAGTCTTAATCAGCTCTTGTGGTGGCGCATCCGACGTCCTCAAGACGTCTTGAAGACTCTTAATGAAGTCTGCATAAGCTCTATTTTATGATTTGGACGTCAAATACAACATCAGAAAGAAGTTTTTAAGAAGTTTTTAAGACTTCGAATGCGCCACCTATTTAACTAATCCAGACTTCTCAAAAAAGAACTCTTAAGGAACGCTTTTCTTTGACTTCGCAATTAAGCATTTTAAAGAGTACTACTGTATAAACTTATAAAAATACTTCTTTAGGATTTCCCGTTTTGGAGTACTACTAGGGTACTGATGAAAAAATTACATACTGGATCGTTGCTTATTTTGACATGTCAAGTTTAATTACCGGTAATACCATAGAACAAACGAATTTGTTAAATTGATTTTATTAAAATTTTAATTATTTGCTCGTACCTATTCGCCTATTTTTGGAATTGCGTGGACTTCGTCTCACTTTTGTTTAAATTCAAGCGTGCTCTTCACCGGCACCTATAGACGGCCTGTTTCGCTCTTTTGGAGCTCGTCAGTATCGGCTAGCCGTTTACCTAGGTCTAAGACCGTTTGGTATGGGGCCAAAGGTTATTAATCTATGGGGCCAGTGCTCGGATATTTGATTTTCAATTTCAAATTTTGAAACCGTGTATAGGCTTACTCTGTCTTGCCTAAGCATGCTTTCTCTGTCTTGCCTGCTCTGCTCGCGCCGTCAGTGGGCGAGGCGTATGCTACACTCAGAGAAATATCAAGTTATGAAAAGCATATGAAATTATATTAATTTAAATAATCGGGTAAATTTGATTCAAATAGAAAAAATTTTAGTTTTACATTGATTTACCAACAGTCTTACAATGTTTTGAAACACTTTTAAAGTGTACCCTCTTTAAAATATATATACAAAAAGAAATCCATTTATTTCATTGCCTTTCTCAAAGTTGTTTCAAAAAGATATGTATTATACAATTGTTATGCACCTATTAATTTAATGGGAAACACCAATGACGCCAAAACATATTTGAATCCCTAATAATTCAAAGGGATTCAAATATGTTTTGGCGTCATTGGTGTTTCTCATTAAATTAAACGGTGTATAACAATTGTATAATACATATATTTTTAAAATAACGTTGAGAAAGGCAATGAAATAAATAGATTTCTTTTTGTATATATATTTTAAAAAGAGTACACTTTAAAAGTTTTTAAAAACATTGTAAAACTGTTGGTAAATGAATATAAAACTACATTTTTTTCTATTTGAATCAAATTTACCCGATTATTTAAATTAATATCATTTCATATGCTTTTCATGACATGATATTTCTCTGAGTGTATACGGGGTTTTTAAGGACATTCCAGGTAGAGCGTATTTTTCGTTCTTGCGTTCGAAAATTTGTTTCCAGTTATAATATTATAATATATATTATTATACATATATAATTATTATTATTATATTTAATATATATTTATATAATTATTATATTATTCTAGCGGGCATTTCAGGACTCTTGGATAAAACTTCATATTTCAACAACAGTTGAAGTTAGCGACTTCATTTTTTTTTAAACTGTGTCAATGTTTTGACTACATTTGACTCGATATATATGTATAGAAATTTTCAATAATTCACATAGCTCGCCGCAGGGTAAAATTTTGATGCACGATTTTGATAATTCTATATTAAAATTTTTTTTTCTTCAAAATCTTTAGAAATTTTTAAAATTTATGAATTGCTATTAGAAGCGCTCACATTTCAAGTATAAGTCTGCAAAAAATCAGAATTTTAGATTGTATTCTAGAATTAATACAACGGTTAATGTTACAAATCACCCACACTCATAGTGGAACATAAAAATTCATATTTCAACAACATATACAGGGTGTTATGTAATTAATGTTATATATTAAAATACTACCTTTTGACATAAGGAGTAAAGGAAAAATATTTAAAAAAATATTTTTCCAAAGATAAAGAAAAAATAGGCATTAGAAGTTTTTTAAATTTTTTGTGATACGCCACTGGTTACACACTTGGTTTATCTCTGCACACTTGTGTTCTGTGAGTACATAGATACCAACCAACAAAGTAGCTGCGCGTTGCCAGATGTAAAAAATTGTTACTAAAAATTTTTCTTGCAAAAAATAAAAAAAAACTCAAGCTTAAGCAATGATTGGAAAATTAATTAATTTATTTGGGACCAGTTCACAGGTTAAACTTTAAACATTTAATTTGTGTAAATAAATCCAAAAGTACTTCCCTTAGTTAAAATATTTACAATTTGAGCACATAACCTAAAATTTGAAAGAAATGCACTAGATTGTGTCATAAAAGTTGGCAGATTTAGTTTGAATTTACCTTCAGTACAAAAATGACATAACCAACAATTAATAAAAGCGCCAAATTGACAATTTGCATTGTTAATTTTATCATTTTTGTAATTAAGCTAAATTTAAACAATGTTTGTCAACTTTTTTGACAGAATTTGGAAACGCTGTTGTTACCAACCAGGGTTACCAACCATAACATAATAAATTAAATTAGGCAACCAGATTACCCTAAAGTTCCTAGTCGATCAGTGGCGTACTTTTTGGTAGGATAAAGGTTATTATAAATTATTTTTAATCTTTGAAATTTAGAAAAAAAAGTTTCAGGTGCTTCTTTATGGACCCTAAGGAACAACCCATTTTAATATATAACATTAATACATAACACCCTGTATATAAGTGTGTGTGTGCGTGTGTGTGGCTATAGCCATTAAAGTCAATTTTAAAAATAATTTGAATTTCTTGGAAATATGAGTTTACTGTATAGTATAGTAAAATCATATTTCTAAGATTTTGAAATTTTCTTTAATGGCTAAATAATTATGAAGTCATTATAATTAAAACTAATTGTATAAAAGAATAATTCATGAAAACAAAACTGTATGAAGTCATAAAGAGATCTTAATTCTGTCTTCTACAAGAATTCTTTTTATGAATTCAAAAAGAGCTCTTAATTCTGTTTTCTACAAGAACTCGTTTGGAGCTCTTTTAGAATCCTTCAAGAAGTCTTAATTAGCTCTTGTGGTGGCGCATCCGACGTCCTCAAGACGTCTTATAGACTTCATTTTGAAGAAAATTAAGACGTCCAAATCTTAATTAAGAGCTCTACAAGAATTCTTACACGCTTCATATTGCTGTCTGGGAAGTAATTGGACTGCATTGGATTGCATAATAAATATGTCATCATGTACATTACGATCTAAATATGTATGCATTTTTGCTTTAATATGAGTTACAAAATAACTAAGTCATTGTCATCGTGCAGTTCAACAGTGTGTTTCGAGTGTGATTTCGCACTACATGGCTACCCGGTACCCATTAGGTCCAAAAGACCGTAACATGAGGGTCAGGTCCCCCCAAAAATGTTTGCCAAAATTTTTTAACCACTTTAAAAATACGATTTTCATATACCTAAATCTTCTAATATCATTTAATAAAATGTATGAAATTTTTCAAAGAAATATTTTTTTTCAGTCAAAAACAAAATATTCGTAGTGTATGAGTTATTTTTAATTAGGTATTCTTTATTCACCACTTCCAAAGTCTTTCTTTGGATCCGCCCCAATTACAAAATTTAAATTATTGTTATCAATCAATAAAGTAAATAGCAATTAATTAAATATTGTATTGGGTTCAAGCATGAAAGTATAGATAAAGGATTTTAAGGCAATCAAAAATTAAAAATCGGCTTTTCAAAAGATAAAAGGAAACAAGATCACTATAGTGATAAGTCATAAATTTATTACAAACATTTTCCATTTTTGATTCCACCAATATCCATTGACATTTCGATGTTTGAGATCAATTAAAAACGCCATACTAACAAGGAATACAAAGAATTTAAGGCCAATTTTATTTGTTAAACATTATATATCCATACAAAATATTTAAAAAATTATTACTTTTCCAATTTAAACTTAATGTTGTCTCTTAACATATCAAGTCCAACTTTATTAACGTTATAATACGGCAACTGTTCCATCTTCTTGATCCAAGCAGCAATTTTGGGGAATTTAGTTGCATCAATTGGCACCACTAAATCGCATGATGTAGCGGTTGTTACAAGAGAAAAATCAGCTATTGTAACGTTGTTACCGGCCACAAATTTTGTATTTTCCAAATAATTTTCAACGTATCCATAAGCTTCAATTACGGCGTCACTCTGTTCTTTTGGGATGCTTTTGGCTCCTTGAAAGATTATTGATTTCTGAAAAAATAATTGTTAGATTTTTATAACTAGCCTAGCATTTGCTACTATCATATTATGTGTAACTTTAAAACCAGTTTGCTTGATTTTGTTCAAAACAAGCCCTTTTTAACATATTTCCAAAATATATTTAAGGTATAAAAAGAGTTGTTATTTGTAATATTTGTGGTTAAAAGGGAAATACCTTAGAGTAACAAAACACTCTAAGGGAAATACTAAGGTTTTTATTTGTTTTAATTTAAATATACCTTACCGTTATGACTAACATTCGAGGAAATAATGTTCCAGCATCGAAAAATAGACGTTGATCGATAAGACCCCTTGCTTGTGCTTCTTTTGGATAAAGGGAATCATCCTTTCCGTATTTATTTATCAAGTAAGTCATGATTGCATGGCTGTCCCATAAAATAAATCCATTATCGTCCAGACTTGGAACAGTGTGTTGAGGATTTATCTATAAAAAGTAATTGTGATTGTAATTGAAGTCTTGCTGTATTTAAGCTATACAAAATTTGCCAGTAAGCGATCAAAACATAAAATAAATGTTGTGTATAATTTCATTAAAATCAAATAACACGTGCAGAACACTTGAAATTTTCAATGGGAAATACATGACATGATATTATATTTTTACAACCTTCCATTCATTTTTCTTAAAGGTATAATAATAATAATAATAATAGTTTATTAATCCAACAGACCAAGTCTACATAAAGGATATAATTTTTTTACAATATATATAACACAAAATTAGTTAATAAAAAATTATTATACTTCTCACAATTTTATAAGTACCTACCATTTTTTTTTCCAAATTTTTAAAATCATACCTACCAGGTTAATTCGAATATATTCCAAATATTAAAAAAAATGGTTTTCGATGCTCCTTATCGTACTTGTATCGTAATGTGTGAAGTTTGATAATTTCTATTCATAATTTAAAAAGAAGTTTTATTCGAAGGGTGTAAAAATACATTAAAAGTAAAAGTACTTTACAGTTAATCAATTTTGCTGAAAATATACACAACATTTTGCTGTTTCCGGCCTAAAGTGATGAAGATATACATTATAAAAAATATAATAATAATATTAATAGACTTCATTGTGTAAAATACAAAAATAATACCTACATTTGTATTTTGAACAATTAATAATTATAATTTGATATATTATGAAAACACACTTGGCTTACACCCATTGTGTTTGAATATTTAGATAAATATATATTTGTATTATGCACAAAAATTATTATTATTAATATATTTATTTATATTATACATGTCACTTTTTATAATGTTTATAGGTACATGTATAATATAAAAAGTGATAAAGACATATACATTGTATATGTCTTTATCACTTTTTATAATTTTTTTAGTAGAGGATCTGGTCAGATTTCCCGGGGAACCTCCTGCTGGCCGATTTTGTGGACATTTTTTCCGCTCTTTAACACTTGGTGTGTAAGGTTTGTTAAAGTTATGTATTTAAATTTTTTAGAAAATACTTTCAAAAATATTTTTACGATTTTCGCGACAATTGTTTAAGTTGGCTAGAAAAAACCTGAAAGTACGCAAGGTACCTTGCATTCATTTTTTAATGAAACATTTGCCTATTTTGAAACTTTTTGGAATCCTTTTTTAATTAACTTAAAGTAGTTTATTTTTTAAACACATACCCTGCACTAGAATTTCCAGTGCAGGGTATGGGTTTAAAAAATAAACTACTTTAAGGTAATTAAAAAAGGATTCTAAAAATTTCCTAATAGGCAAATATTTAATTGGAACTGATACTCTTGAATAAATATGTAAGATATGGTCTTAAATATTTAACAAATTCTTACACCCACTTAAAAACCCTTCGTTAAAATTTTAAAGTTTACTCACGTATAACTTTTTTCATAAAAAACTAGATAAATACCTTTAAATACTCTGGTTTTAAATGTTCCATCTTCAAAAGATTCACATCTTGCTGTTCCAATTTTAAGTCGATGGCACTGGCACATAATTGTACAGCTCGTACGGGTGGGCTTGCGGCGATTACGTACAGTTTTGGAGCCATGGTAGTTTTCTGATAGCAAAGTGATACTAAATTACTTTTAAATAGTCGCTGTAGCATTCACTAACATACACTTGCAGGACCGTATTATGAATTAAAAGGTAATAAGTTCTGTAATGTGAAATAGAAAAATTGCTTTCCAAACCACACTATTTTTGATTAGTTTAAACTACATATTTTTAATGATTTTTTAGCTTTATTTTTTGTAAATCCATGGATAAAAGTATAAATTTCAGTATTAGGATGTTTCCCAAAGAAAAATATAATATTAATAACCCAGACAGCATACAAGTCAGAAAGACTTCCTGAAGAAGTAAAATTACCACTGTTCGTGCTGTTGCTCCTGGAGAATATTTCCATTATGGACTGGAAAAAGAAATAATATATCAACTTAAAATTACTGACATGAGTCAGTTTAAAAACATTATTCAAATTAACATTCACATTGATGGTTTGCCAATATCAAAGAGTCAACTGTATCCAATACTGGCAGAAATTTACGCAAAAGTTGCTGTACCTTTTGTTGTTGCTCTATATCATGAACAAACCAGATGATTGTAATGAATTTATCAAGGATTTTATTAATGAATATAAGATTTTGCAAGCTGTAGGTTTTAACTATGGTCACAAATTTAAAGTAATAATTAGAGCTGTAATTTGCGGTTCACCTGCAAGAGCTTTTGTTACATATTCTAAAGGCCATGGCGGTTTTTATGGTTGTGGTAAATGTATTCAAGAGGGTAAATATAATGATCATAGGATGTTATTTCTTGATATGAATGCACCATTGGAAATTATTGTTATTTAATTTATTTATTTAGTTTTCTCTTAAGTCTCTGCATGTACGTATATTATGGCGAATAAAAAAGCATTGCTAGCTTTGTTGCTTGAAGAGGAAGAAGATGACGATTGATAACATATGTTAGCAATATCAAATCGTCATCTTCTTCCTCTTCAAGAAACAAAGCTGGCAATGCTTTTTTATTCGCCATAATATACGTACAATATTATATGAAAGTGGTTTATTAAAATATGTTAATGTTTTAATTGAAAATCATTTAAAAGTTTAAAGAATACTTTAGATTAAATAAAATGCAATGTTTTTTAATAAATAAAATATTAATATAAAATTATTGTTTTAAATTGTCTGCCGGGGTTGCTACATAATATAAAATTATCTTTTTCTAATAATATATATAATATATACATATAGCCATTAAAGTCAATTTTAAAAATAATTTGAATTTCTTGGAAATATGAGTTTACTGTATAGTATGGTAAAATCATATTTCTAAGATTTTGAAATTTTCTTTAATGGCTAAATAATTATGAAGTCATTATAATTAAAACTAATTGTATAAAAGAATAATTCATGAAAACAAAACTGTATGAAGTCATAAAGAGATCTTAATTCTGTCTTCTACAAGAATTCTTTTTATGAATTCAAAAAGAGCTCTTAATTCTGTTTTCTACAAGAACTCGTTTGGAGCTCTTTTAGAATCCTTCAAGAAGTCTTAATTAGCTCTTGTGGTGGCGCATCCGACGTCCTCAAGACGTCTTATAGACTTCATTTTGAAGAAAATTAAGACGTCCAAATCTTAATTAAGAGCTCTACAAGAATTCTTACACGCTTCATATTGCTGTCTGGGAAGTAATTGGACTGCATTGGATTGCATAATAAATATGTCATCATGTACATTACGATCTAAATATGTATGCATTTTTGCTTTAATATGAGTTACAAAATAACTAAGTCATTGTCATCGTGCAGTACAACAGTGTGTTTCGAGTGTGATTTCACACTACATGGCTACCCGGTACCCATTAGGTCCAAAAGACCGTAACATGAGGGTCATGTCCCCCCAAAAAAGTTTGCCGAAATTTTTTTTAATACTTTAAAAATACGATTTTCATATAAATCTTCTAATATCATTTAATAAAATGTATGAAATTTTTCAAAGAAATATTTTTTTCAGTCTAAAACAAAATATTCCTAGTGTATGAGTTATTTTTAAATTATTCCTATTTCACCCCTTCCAAAGTCTTTCTCTGGAAATTTAAATTATTGTTATCAATCAATAAAGTAAATAGCAATTAATTAAATAATGTTAATGTATTGGGTTCAAGCATGAAAGTATAGATAAAGGATTTTAAGGCAAACAAAAATTAAAAATCGGCTTTTCAAAAGATAAAATAATACAAGATCACTTTAGTGATAAGTCATAAATTTATTACAAACATTTTCCATTTTTGATTCCACCAATATTCATCGTCATTTCGATGTTTGAGATCAATTAAAAACGCCATACTAACAAAACAAGTAAAGTATTCCAAAATATGAAACATTTTTCCCAACGAATTTTTTAAATTCCAACCTCAAGGCCGCATAGTCATTACAACGCATAAGAAGACACAACAGGCACACTCGACCTTTGTTCTTAATCATTAACTTGAATAAACAGGTCCGTATTTAAACAATGATTTCTTGAGTTATGAGATATTAAAAAAAAATTATGACCGCATCAGGCTATTTTAATTAGCTTATGCCTATAGATTAGGATTAATATAGTATCATAGACATAACATATGCTGTAATAGTGAAATTTCATACCTAGGGTATAAAATTCGCTGTGTAAAATTAATTCCTGGGTTTTTCCATGTCCAAAAATTACCTTAAATTAAGACTCATACAATACAGTAAATTTACCCTCAGTAATCATGTTTATATTTAAATTATAATTAAAGTATTATTTAAGATTTAAATAAACCAACTAAACTATTTTTATTGCGCAAGGCTTCTAAATGCAAACAAATGAAAATATTTTGTTAGGTTTAGATAGAGGTCTTTGGTCGAAAGCATTGTTTTTGTTTGAAAAAGTGTTTTTATTAATTTAATTTACGCTGTGGCTCCCGTCCCGAGGCGGGACTTAAGTTCAGTCCCGATTGACGACATAATTTTAAGATTTGTTATGTTATAATAAAATAATTATAATAATAAATTGTACCTGTATACATGTTAAGGGCACGTTAGTTACGTCATAAAACCAAACCAACCCAAACTCAACAACACAACCCAACCGACCCCGCCCCATTGCCCCCCCCCGCCCCATTGAGCAAAAAACCCAACTAAAATGGGCAAATTTATGTTACGATAAAAATAAAACACTTTTTAACAAAGAAACAACAAATTTATAAAATAAAAAAAATAAAAAAGTTTGACAACTTCTAGTGGGATCGAACCCGGTACCTCTCGCATGCCAAGCGACCGCCCTACCATCTAAGCCATCGAGCTTGACACAAATTATAAAATCTCGGGGAATAAAAACGGATTTACAGTGTGTGACGTCAATCGGGACTGAACTTAAGTCCCGCCTCGGGACGGGAGCCACAGCGTTTAATTTAATGCATCTAGTGTTTAAAATAAATGGGCAATTTTATTTTATTTAATCAAAAAAAACTGAATTAAAAACCAGATTGTTGACGGCTGGCCAAAAACAAATAACCGATTTAGAAAAATAATGAAATATTAAAGGTTACTAACATTCCCAATCTCTTGACAATCTAATAAAAAAATAGGTAGGTAGGTACTATAAGTTCATAGTAGGTATTTGGTAAAAAGTTAATTGTTTTACCATAAATAATACCTACCTAAATTTTGATTAAAGTGTAATTGTAATAAACCAGAATCACAGGGGTAAACACAAAATAATAAACAATTGTTTATTATTTTGTGTTAATGCCTGGTTATCGAAGATGGCAGTGCATTATTGCCAAATTGACCAAGACAAATTATATACTTTTTTTTAAATAATAATTTTGTAGATTTAAATAACTACAATAAGGCTAAAATTATTCAGACAATAAAACAATAACGTTTAAAAAATATATTTTTTAAATTTTTACCAGTAAAATTTGAATAAAGGAATCCTCTAAAAGACAATATAAAAGAAACAAGGCAAGCTGTAGTATTTTAATAGTGTAGCATGCGCATTGGAAACTTTTTATCATTTGAGATAGATACATAATATGTATATTATGATTCCCGGTCACTTTTCCGAAAGTCATTTTCCCGACAGACCAATTTCCCGACAGACCATTTTCCCGACAAACCATTTTCCCGACAAACCATTTTCCCGACAAGATTTTTCCCGACACCATTTTCCCGAAAGTCATTTTCCCGAAAGTCGTTTTTCCGACAAGCCATTTTCCTGACAAGCCATTTTCCCGAAAAGTCATTTTTAAGACAAATAATTTTTACCACAAACGACACAATATATTTTAACAGAGTGACGTCATCCAATGACGCAATCTTTTTTCCTTAACCAACGTCCCGAGTCCGCCCGCTTCAAAACCAACCCAAACCCAACAACCCAACCCAACCGACCCCGCCCCATTGGCCCTTACAGAATTCCAGAAGGAACAAGTGGATACCGAAATCATTTTAACTGAATTAAGTCTTGGCCGAACTATCAAGGCTGCGCCAAAAAAAAGTGGTTAACATTACAAACTCGGATTCAGAGGATTGTTTCTCAATACGAGACCTGTAATTTAGAGTACTTACGCGCCCTGGCGCACACCATCGTTATTTAGAAATAAATTAAATTTTTGTGTACCTATTGTTAATTTTTATCAATTTTTAATAAATAAACTTTTTGACCAGGTATGTTTTTCTTTCCTAGATAATAAGATTTTTGTCGTGAACATAGTCTGTCGGGAAGAGTGCTGTCGGGAAAAACGTCGTCGGGAAAATGGTGTGTCGGGAAAATGGTCTATCGGGAAATTGCATTCGGGAAAGTGACCGGGAACCGTATATTATACCTGTCTCTTAATAATTGCAAGGGGCGTGGTAAGTCGTTTACCCGTATAGGAGTTATAGGTATATGGTTGTTAGACATATTTTTTTTTAATGCATATTTTATGACTTTAAACAAAACTACCGCATGGATATGTAATTTGTTAAGTTTATTACTCGTTTTTAGTTGCTTAATAACAACGCTGTGGCTTCCTTCCCG